ATCCAATGCCAATGGCCATGAACATGAACCAAAACCATCCCATGGGAGTGGGAATGGGCATGAACGTGAACCAGAGCCATCCCATGGGAATGGGCATGAACATGAACCAAAACCATCAGATGGGAATGGGCATGAATATGAACCAAAACCATCAGATGGGAATGGGCATGAACATGGGAGGAGGATATGGTCAAGGCTACCCAATGCAACCACAACAAGGGATGGGAATGGCTCCTGGTCCACAACCAGGCATGACTGGTGCTTATAATCCGATGATGGGTCAAGGCGGTTACAACCCGCAGCAGCAGCATCCTTATGGTGGAGGATACCGGTAAGATTCAAGCCAAGCCACGGTTTTACCCACTTTACTTTCACACTAGTAAAAAAAAAAGATCCAAGAACAGAACACAACCATTTTGACCTGGATTTGTAAATTTTTTGGTCGGGTTAGGTAAGTTGAGGTTTGGTCAGTCGTATTATTGGATCAAGTCCCTAGCTTCATCATTTATCTTGCAATAAATAATCCTCGACCTATTTGAGTATTTTTTTTTGTTGTGAAATTCTGTAACAGATGAGAGAGAAATGCAATAACCTTTAATCGGGTTTTTGCTTGCCCATATATATGTATTTTGATATCATACATTTTTTTTCCTTGTGTGATACATTTTCCACATAAGAATTAAGTCTTTCAGTGTGTAATATACTTGGATTGGTATGGTGAAATAGAGAAATCACGAAATGTGAAAGAAAACAAAATTGCAAATTAAACCAAAAGAAAAAGAAGAAAGAGACGTGTAAATTATTGGTATCATCGCCAACGAAAATCTAGTTGAACCATTTTATCTAAATTCACTAAACCAGAACATACCAAACTAAACCAGCTTTAAACCGTAGCAACTCACTCACACAAGTCACACAATTGGTCGTCACTGAGTCATGAGTTTCCATGAGAATTAAAATAAAGAATCTTGAGAATATCCATGATTTTATTTCCCATGGAAAAAATAAAAACAAAATTTTTAGATTTCCATAA